CTACTGCTGCGGGGCATGATGGACTCCTGCCGAGCCCAGAGCAGAGTCTCCTGCTCCCTGAGACACCCTCAGCCAGCACAAATCAGAGCTCACCAAAGGTCTTCCTGAAAAAAGAAAGGCAGGTTGGGGCGGGTTCTATAGGAAACTAAAAATATATTTCTCAAATAAGTCTGCCCTAATTTCTCTCTTCCTTCATTTCCTTTCTACAGATAATCATGCCCAGAGGGCCAAAATGTCCAATATCACCCCCATCACCCAGTTTGTCCTCCTGGCATTCACAGACACGCGGGAGCTGCAGCTCTTGCACTTCTGGCTCTTCCTGGGCATCTACCTGGCTGCCCTCTTGGGCAACGGCCTCATCATCACCACCATAGCCTGTGACCACTGCCTCCACACCCCCATGTACTTCTTCCTCCTCAACCTCTCCCTCCTCGACCTGGGATCCATCTCCACCACTGTCCCCAAACACATGGACAATACCCTCTGGGACACCGAAGCTATCTCTTACTCTGGATGTGTTGCACAGGTCTTCTTTATACTCTTCTTTTTTGGTGCAGAGTATTATCTTCTCACTGTCATGGCCTATGACCGCTACGTTGCCATCTGCAAACCCCTGCACTATGGGACAGTCCTGGGCAGCAGAGCTTGTGTCCACATGGCAGCAGCTGCCTGGGGAAGTGGGCTTCTCAGCGCTGTCCTGCACACTGCCAATATATTTTGCTTACCCCTCTGCCACGGCAATGCCCTGCACCAGTTCTTCTGTGAAATCCCCCAGATCCTCAAGCTCTCCTGCTCAGACTTCTATCTCAGGGAGCTTGGGCTTATTGTATTTAGTGTGGTTGTGGACTTTGTCTGTTTTATTTTCATTGTGGCATCCTACGTGCAGATCTTCAGGGCTGTCCTGAGGATCCCCTCTGTGCAGGGACAGCACAAAGCCTTTTCCATGTGCCTCCCTCACCTGGCCGTGGTCTCTCTGTTTATCAGCACCGTTGGGTTTGCCCATTTGAAGCCCCCCTCTATCTCCTCCCCATCCTTGGATCTGGTGGTGGCAGTGCTGTACTCGGTGGTGCCTCCAGCACTGAACCCCCTCATCTACAGCATGAGGAACCAGGAGCTCAAGGATGCCCTTCGGAAACGGATGCAATGGGTGCTATTTCACTGGCAATAACCTTCCTCACCTCTTCAGCGTGTTTCCCACATTTTATCTTAGGCCATAATTCTGATCATTTCTCTTGTGAGAACTGTACTTTGCGATAGTTTTCTGGGTATATACCCCTTCTGTTGGGATAACTTCTGTTAGATAGCAGGTCTTCATTAAAAGGGCATCCCTCCGGTGAGTACCTGAAGGCTGGGCTCTTTCTCCAAAGTTGTTTCCAAGAAAATGTCCAGGGAACTGGTCTTTTAATGTTTCTCTCCTCCTTTTGTTGTCAGTGTTTTTCAGGTTGAAATTATGAAATCATTGGTTTTGACTGGATCAAATTTTCTGGAGTTAAAAGCTCTGCTCTCATTTTCCAGTGGCAAGGGAAATTATCTCCTGCGGTAATCTAAGTGTATGGCAGGATTATACTGAAATAAATTTCGAGGTGTGAGAGAGAATGGGCAGACCAGGAGGCTGTGGGCCTTTGCCGTGAGGGTGCGTTGTTGGCTCACGATCAGATGGTTGTCCTCCGAGATCCAGAGTTTTTTCTCTGCGCAGCTGCTGTCTGGCTGGTCAGCTCCCAGCATGATGTCCACTGTGTAGTTGGATCACAGGCTGTCCTCCCCTAGGGACGTTCTCAGCAGCAGCTTGCCCTTCTTGGAGATCAGCTCCACCTCTGGCACAGGCCCCATGGTGCTGCAGAGTCCCCTGGGACAGCAAAGCCTTCTCCTGCCAGGGCTGCAAAGGCCAGGGCTGTTTCTCCCTGGCCTTGAAGACTGCAGCTTTTGCTCTCTTTGTGGGAAACTCGTTCATCATGATGTTGCCACCTGCTGTCCACTCCAGCATTCCTCTGCTGGCAAGCAAAGACTTTCCGCACATGGGGTCCAATCTTTTAGTACCAGGTTTCCACAGGACAAATCTGCCCTTGGCCCTGGTGCCACATCAGGGGTGCTGCAGCCGAAATGGCACCAAAGCCCACAGCCTGTGGTACAGACTGCAGGAGCCCCATGGGCCACCACAGAGCTGTGAGATTGGTGGAATAAGAGCCCAGATAGATAGGGAAGGACACCCCCTCTTGGGAGGGACACACAACAGGTTAAGTGGGCTTGTGTTAGGGTCAGCTTTTAAATGGACCATGCAATCTTTTGCTGACCTGAATTTGGTTGTCCCAAAAGAGGAAGAGCTGGTCAGGGATGTGAAGACCAGTGCTGGCCTTGTCTGTAGTGACCATGAAATTGTGCAGTCCCCAGGGACGTGGGGAAGGACACGAGCATAGCACAGACCCGGCACATCAGGGGATGAGAATCTGGCCTCCTGAGAGCACTGGCAGGTGGGATCCCATGGGACAGTGTCAGGGCCTTATAGCACCCATAGACCTTCATGGCCCTTCCCCGCCTCACCTGCGGCCCCCACCCACACCTCTCTTCCGTGGGCCCAACAGAC